GGACCTCCTCTTCCAATCCGTCGCCCAGCATAATCCCGACCTAAAGCTTCACGTGCAATATGTGAAAAATGTGCTGGACACCCAACATTTTGCAGCCACATATTTTGTCTTTCTTCCCTGTTTAAATCTATAAATCACGTTGGTAAGACGGCATCTAAAAAATTTTCGGTACTTCTCCCCATTCAGCATACCATCAATAAAGTATAGACCGATCAATTTATCACCAATTATACCACACCAAACATTAACCGACCTAGGTCGTTGATGTTCTACTTCACGCAACCATATCGGATTTTCAACGCTCAAATAATGCATGTTATGTCTATTGTCTTGTCCTTTGTTTGTAAAAGTAGACTCATCAATATTATATATTATATTATACAGGATGTTCATTTCAAAACTTTCCACCTCAATATCTGTAAATCCGGAAGTTTAAAAAGAAAATCGCTGAAATAGGTAAAGAATAAAACCAAGGGGGACAACTTTGTATGCAAAAATTGACTCACTCACTTCAATCCCCCGCCGCCAGAAACCAACCCCTTAAAAATCTTAAATGGAAAGGGGTGTCAAGTGATACCTCATTTTAAAAGTCTTTTAAGGTACTACATGTTAGTATTTATTTTTTTTAAATTGATCGATTCGTTTTCGAAATTTTTGCGAAAATCTTTGTTTTGTATTTCCCGCTTTAATTAATATAAAAAACTTTAAGCACCTTCTTAAAAGCAAGAATAAGTAATCTTTTATTATTAATTTATAAAATTAAATTACCATGTTCGTTTTTACAACGACCATTAAACCTTTATTATTTCGGAGCAATCCGAAATCTTTGATATTTAGGTTATTTTGACAATGATATACCTACGTTGGCTAGCTTGCCTGGCGTCTGTCAGAGATATTTAGAAAAAACGATTTCTGTTTCATTTTTCTTTTCTTTTAGGTTTATTTGGTTATTACTTAAACAACTTTTAACTGCTTGAAACGTTCTATTTTATTTTCAGTTATTTAATTATGTACAAAAAATTTTTGCAGAGAAAATCAACTTAATAATTGTTCAAAGTGTTGTCCGTTATTAGCTAAACAATGGTACAACCGTTGTTCAAAACTACGGCGCACATTTTCAAAAACTTCCCTTTGAATTCCACGGCAAGCTGCAGTAATTATCTGACGAAGTTCTTCTAAATTTTGAGGTTGAGGGATAAATACAACAGACTTTAAATGACCCCATAAAAAAAGTCTAATGGCGTCAAATCTGGTGATCTGGTTGGCCATTCTATAGGACCTTGGAAACGTATTATCTAACCACTGTCGTACTGGGAGAACATAGTGAGGAGGAGCTCCGTCTTGTTGAAAATGTAATTCATTCTCATCAAGTAAGGCATTTTCTTCTCTATCCTACTGATTCTCGAGAGCTTCCGTAATTATTGGATTGATAGTATTTTCTAACATATCCAAGTACACTTCGCCGTTTAAATTTCCATCGATAAACACTGGACCAATCACTTGATCTCCCAAAATGCCGGCCCATACATTAACTTTTTCAGGATATTGTGTATGCCCTTCTACAGTCAGATGAGGGTTTTCATTACTCCAATATCTGCAGTTATGTTTATTTACAAATCCATTTAAAGAAAAAGTGCATTCATCACTAAAGCAGATATTTTTCACAAAAACGTTGTTATTATTAATAATAGTGGTCACTTCTTCACAAAACTGTATTCTCCTGTCAAAATCGTCTTCAGTTAGCTCTTGATGTATTTTCAATTTATAAGGATGGAATTTGTGAAGTTTTACAACTTTATGAACAGAACCCAAGGATATACCAGTTGCACGAGATACCTGACGCAATGAAGTATTGGGGTTGATACCGAAATGACCCAACACTTCCAGTTGAGCGGTTTCATTCAAAACTCTCGACTCATTATGTTTTATGTTGGCAACGGACCCAGTCTGAGTGAATTTCTTCATGATCTGGATGCCTTTCATTAAAAACTGCGGCAGTTCGTCGAGCACATTCATTTTGGGATCCATACATTAATACAATTTCAATCCTTTCCTGCAAACTGTAAACCATTATTGCTGTTTTATTTAAATAACTTTGTTAAGTGGATAACACAAAGTTGTTTAAGTAATAACCAAATAAACTTATGTTTAGAATTGCACTTTTATTTTATTCTTTTCTCGCACTGTGAGCCTGCCTATAACTCGTTTATAGAAAGAGAAAAATTTCGTCTCTTTTTTTCCTTTTTTTGGCCATTCGAGTCAAGAGTAATTTTCATACAGGTTTAATGTAAAATACTTTCAATAAAATTTAGTTTAATTCATAATTATACGTGTTTAGTTTTCTTAAATATTTCCGATTGCTCCGAAATAATAAAGGTTTAATGGTCGTTGTAAAAACGAACATGGTAATTTAATTTTATAAATTAATAATAAAAGATTACTTATTCTTGCTTTTAAGAAGGTGATTAAAGTTTTTAATATTAATTAAAGCGGGAAATACAAAACAAAGATTTTCGCAAAAATTTCGAAAACGAATCGATCAATTTAAAAAAAATAAATACTAACATGTAGTACCTTAAAAGACCTTTAAAATGAGGTATCACTTGACACCCCTTTCCATTTAAGATTTTTAAGGGGTTGGTTTCTGGCGGCGGGGGGTTGAAGTGGGTGAGTCAATTTTTGCATAAAAAGTTGTCCCCCTTGGTTTTATTCTTTACCTATTTCAGCGATTTTCTTTTTAAACTTCCCGATTTACAGAAATTGAGGTGGAAAGTTTTGAAATGAACACCTGTATAATATAATATATAATATTTTGTCAATGGGCACAAGAACGAATGCCGTTGGACGTCAATTTCTTTGTTAACGTGCTATTCTCGGATGAGTCTACTTTTACAAACAAAGGACAAGACAATAGACATAACATGCATTATTGGAGCGTTGAAAATCCGATATGGTTGCGTGAAGTAGAACATCAACTACCTTGGTCGGTTAATGTTTGGTGTGGTATAATTGGTGATAAATTGATCGGTCTATACTTTATTGATTGATTGATTATTGATAGATTTTTAAGGGGTTGGTTTCTGGCGGCGGGGGGTTGAAGTGAGTGAGTCAATTTTTGCATAAAAAGTTGTCCCCCTTGGTTTTATTCTTTACCTATTTCAGCGATTTTCTTTTTAAACTTCCGGATTTACAGAAATTGAGGTGGAAAGTTTTGAAATGAACACCTGTATATAGATTTTGCAATCAAAAACATAGGGTGTCATTTAAAAAATTGGTCGTGACCTTCATGATAACCTTGAAAATATGGTCAAGTAAAAATGTTATTGTCATACGGTTCCCCCTTCGCACAGAACAACTTTCATTTGGTTCATATTTGAGCTGCGATTCTTGCACTACGTTTTCAGTATTGCGACGAGTAGACGAAAGAAAGAATACTAAAAGAAAATAACAATATTCTTTATTATTATCGTGTCTCATCTGCGGTTTCCTTATTTCGCCTATTATAACGTAAATTCGCTTGCCGTAACCAACTGCTTACTACCCGTTCATATTCTTTATCAGTTAAATGGAAGCTCTTCCTAACTGCCACTAAAATATATGAAAACGTAAAATTCTTTACATACGGTCTCTATAGCCGTATTTTCATTAACTAAATCTAGTGGTGATATATAAAAAAACTTATACAAAACTTACCTGCGCCATTCTAAACCAATATTCGAACAATTCGAACTGATTTGAACTGAGAACAGAACACTAGAACAAGACGTGACAAGACACTGACACTCACAGGCGCTGATGAAGATATTCCAGACATGTTTCAGGCACATTTGTAGTGAAATATTTCAAATGAAATGTTTCTGCTACATATTTTAATGATATTTCATAAATATTTCTACTGAAATGTATTTGATACATATCTTTAGATACGTTTCGTAAAAATCGTATCTGTTACGTATATGAAACGTAGTTCTAAGATGTTTCATTTAATTCACTGTACGTTAAAATNTAGACCTTCTATAATGCCCCTCAGGTCATCTATTTGTTTCTGAAGAGTAGCTTCATCTTTAGTGCGTTGCTCCTTTATTTGTTCGATTTCTTCTTTAATTTCGGCGGAATGTGTTCTTTCTTTTCTAGGGAATTTAACAAGGAGAATTCCATATCTGTTTTTGGAGTAATCTGCTTTTGTCTTTATGGTGACTACAGAATCCGTTTCCAAATTTTTTTTTATAAGTTTGCGAGCCCCAACATGAGATATTGTTGTGTCCGGATATTTTTGCTGGAATTTTTGTATAACTACACAAAAACATGATTCACCAGTACCATAGCACTGTACTAAATAAATTCTCTCTTTCACGGTTAACATCGCACGAAAAGACTATCTCACTAACATAAGTTCTAACTTTTATGGTTTCTATGGTTACATATCATAAATTAAACTTGAAAAATTTTCAATTTAGAAAAAAGTCCAATATTTACATAAAAATAGGAATAATTAGTTAACTTCTATAGTTAGAGTATAAAATTCGTGCGATTTAGTAGTTTGAACATTATTTATGCTGAGATAAGTTTGAAAAATCAGTAATCAAATTTTTTTTCCTCTTTGTAACTCAATCCGGGGACATACTGTATAAGCAATACTTTTTTAATTCAAAGTGCACATTTTCGAACGAGATTTCTGTTAGGTTAAAGCAATTTCCACTGGAAATAGTGTAGCTTTAGAACATTATTTAATATTTTAAAATGTTTTTTCAACTAACAATAAGTCTTTAATTTATTTGCAATGCTCTCTTTTGAACACATCTTTATTGAAAATGTAAGAACGGTATTGCTAATGCGATCTTTAGGCTGAATTTCCTTTTTTTGAGTTGGAAGTGTAACAAATGAAATATTAACTCGAAAATTTTGCTACGTTTCATTCTCTTACATTTTCATTATCCTTAATAATGCCTTGTCTAAAGAAAGAATCCTTAAAGTTTATAAACTCATTGTTTTTTTTATAGCTTTATTATTGGCAATTAAAATTTTTCACAAATCTACTTCCTGCTCCAGTTTTAAATTTGATTATGAAATTAAACGAAACAGTAACTACATCTTTCAGTAATTTACCAGGAATAGAAGGCGTGCACATTAAAGGATATAAAGTGAAAGATATTGTATTTTGGGTTCCACCAGTGCGAAGTATAGGTACTTAAATAGAACAGAATCTGCTTTTTAAAAATTTAACTCATCTATTTCCTTTTATTTTACAGGTATTGGTTTATCTATTTTAACTTATGACAACAGATTCCAAATGGGATTACTTGCAGATGAAATATTAATATCAAAGCGTCATAAAGCACAATCTGTTTTAAACAATATAATCAAACACATTGATGATATTGATAATGAATTAAAATAATTAATAATTCTTGTTTTTAATTAAAGGCTGATAATTTATGTACATTTTATTAAATATAAAAATTTGGTTTTAATTTATAATGCAACCAACATGTGAATGTTTTCAATGAAAATGGGATAAATAAAAATATAAAAAGTTCTTTAAGATATTTGATTAACCTGCTTTTACCTTTTCTTGATCATGAACTATTAATATCAAACCTAAAACAACTAGAGATGATCCAAACCACCATAAAATTGATGTTACTTCTTCGAATATTAAAAAGCCAAATAAAGCCTGTGAATAAGACATCAATAAATATTATATTAATATAAATGTATCCTTACTGTAACAATATAATTTGTTGAAGTACTTATTAAAGTTGCTGATAGCGAAGATTTACAATTTTGTAAAGCTTTTACAAAAAACGTCCAAACACATGCATTGCATATTAACATTAATATAAAACAAATTAATTTTAATAAAATATTACCCTGCAATAAAATTATTATAAAATAACTATAATATGTTAGGTTATATAAATGTCAAAACAATTTTAACCTCAAAATATTCATGTCCTGTCAATTTTCCAAATATACTTCCAGCTGCTGCAAAACTTCCCGACGTAATGGCTTGATAAGACTTTGTTAATGTTTTAAACGTTAACATATTAAGTTTTAATTAATTTTGCGTTGTATGTAATATGTACAATGTAAAATGTAACCAAATAGAAGAGAACGTTGTGTGTAATAAAAAGATAACCTAATTTTGTTGACAATATAATTTCATATCAAATGGAATGGGTTTAGACAAGAATTTGAATCGTCGTTACAGTAAAGCAGATAATAAATTGGATCTTAAATCTTCTAAATATCTTTTTGCAGTGTTTGTGTAAGTTTTAAATATTAGTTTACCACAATTGTAAACATGTTAAATTGGTTGTATAATCGCATGGCGTTTTTTGTTTTCACGGCCATGTCTGAATATACAGTATGTTCCCGAATAGGTGAAACGACTCTTTTAAAATGTAAAATTTTTTCGATATTAATTGTCATTTTTGAAGTGAAAACTCCTTGTGTGTCAGGTAAAAGGATTTTTATCAAAGTAGGCCGATCATTCCTAAAATTTGCATATGGCCATAGTTTTTCATTCTGAACAAAACTTCTTAGTAACACTTTCACGTATTGTAAACAAAAAAGGTACTTTACCTGCAACAAAAAGAGTTCTTCTTTCACCGTCAAGGCTCACTTGTTTTTTAACAATTGAAAATATGTTCAAAATTAGTCTTTAATCAAGCAGGCCTAAACTCCAAAAAATGACAATTAATATCGAACAAATTTCACGTTTTATAAGAGTCGTTTCACCTATCCAGGGACACATTGTAGGTGAAGTAGGGTTAAGAGTAGTTAGTTGTTTGTTAAACCATAAAATTTAGGTACCTCGTGTTTTGTGAGAGACAATGAAGTTCTTTAGAAAAACTCTTTTCAACCACGCTCTGCTATCTATAACTGATACAGATTCATGTTTAGTTATATACAGGTGTCCCAATTTCGATGTCCGCATAGGCTATCTCCGAAACTAAAAGAGATAGAAAAAAAGTAGCTTACATGTCATGATGTCATGATCTCCTTTTTCGATAAAATGCTAATGGCGAAATCTTCGAACAGCTATCGTCTTTTGTTTTCGCCCTATCGGCAAAAACTGAAAATTTTGCGAAAACGACAATCGCCAATATCTTACTTATTATCAAAGATGGAGTATTATCAATAAAACATTATATGGGCAACTTTTTATGAAGAATTCAGTGGCGTAGGTAGATTTTTTTCCCATTTCTTATTTTCAAGATTTTAGAAGTAACTTTATATTTTTAAATGGAAACCATAGTTGGCTATGACCTAAAATAATTTGTTATTTTCTTCTGATAACAAATGTACAGGATTGCATTATTTTCTTAAAACTAAGGCAAATACTCAAATTATTTGCCGTCGGCACTAATACAAGCTCTGCATAGTCACAGAAAAGATCTTTTTACTAGTTGTGCAAATCTCTTTGCATTTAATTCTTCTGCTGCTGTATAAATATAGTGGCGCAGTTCGGCAAGATTTTCAATCGGTTTTTAATACACTGTTTGTTTTATGCAATCCTAATAAGAAAATCAAGGGGATTTAGTCCCAGAGAATGAGGAGGCCACGTAATCGAACCAGGACGCCAAATCCATCTTTCTGGGTATTCTTTGCAATCCCGTACAGGACAAGCCTAATGAGCTGGGCGACCATCTTGTTGAAACCACATTTCTCTGTAGATATTGAGTGGCACATTTTATTTTCAAAATACAAAATCTTTTTCAAAAAATACTATTATTCTATTATTTTATAATATGTGAGAAAACCCCCACACACATCTTCTAACAAAGTTGTTAAATCATTTTGGAGGAAATACAAATAACATACGAAAGTATAAATTTTTTAAATAACGCGTTTTTGGCTGAAAAACAGGCAATAATATTTTTTAGGAAAAGAAAAATGGTAAGTGTTATACCATTTTGGAATCTTGACTAAACAGGCCATCTTTTAAAATAACTTGCCAAGGGTGTTGTACTAGTCCTTTGTTTAGAAATCATGTGTCAAACTTAATAGACATAAATTCTTTCAACCTTAACTCAATCAAACTCATACTTTTTCTTGCAAAACTAACGACTTTTGTTGTTCGATTTGGGGCTGCTATAGTAGCATGGTTCATGAGGAATACATTATTAAAAAAATCACTATTAAATTACGAACATTTCTGACCGTAGTACCTAAAGGTATGATGTACGGGAACGATTTTTAACATTTTCAAAAATATGTCTATTACCACTTAACTGAGGAGCATAGAATTTTTTTCTTATTTTTACCAGAACGGGTATGAGTTGGCCTCTCACCCGGTGCCCGCTTGACGTTGAGTTTCGGGACACCTGTATATAGTTTGTGGGGTATATTTCTTATAGTTATTGAATAGTTAACAAAAATTCATTTTGTTCTATCTAAAACTAATGTATGTATTTAAAAGTTAATGTTGGTGATAACCATACAATGACATACTATGATGGAACATACAGGGTGCCCATTATACAGGATGTATCTGAATAACTGCAACAAACTTCAAGGGGTGATTCTTTAGTGAATTTTAAGGGTACTTTGATATATGAACCATGGGCGACTTCGGCTCCCCTAAGGAGCTACACCCCTCCAAAAATGGCGGAAAATTTTGGTTTAACTTTTTTTTCTCAAAAACCATAAACGCTAGGAAAATGAAATTTGGGGATATTAACTCATAATAGGGCACGTTTTGACCATAATTGTACTTTCAACCTACTCTTCTAAGTTAGTAAACATAACCACCCCCGTTCAATTTTTGTCTAGATTTTTCTTATGACGGTGATAAATACATTGGAAATATTTTATTTAGATAGATGAAAATATTCTAAAACTTTTTTGCCTCTCTGATGTTCTTCGAAAAGTTAATAGTTTCTGAGAAAAAAATTAATTAAGCAAACACTAACTGTTAAGCTGTAGGGTTGTTAATCGAAAGTTGGAATGAATTTTTAATGAAAAAATCTTAGTAGGCTTTGCAATCTTTGTCAGAAATATTTTTGACGTTTAAATGTCAGTGGTTTTCGTACTATTATTATTGTTTTATTTAAAATTTTGAAACGTCGAGTGAACGAGCGTAAATGCGATAGAACTTTATTTAAAAATTAATTTGAAAAACAATAATAATAGTAAGAAAAACACTGACATTTAAACGTCAAAAATATTTCTGACAAAGATTGCAAAGCCTACTAAGATTTTTTCATTAAAAATTCATTCCAACTTTCGATTAACAACCCTACAGCTTAACAGTTAGTGTTTGCTTAATTAATTTTTTTCTCAGAAACTATTAACTTTTCGAAGAACATCAGAGAGGCAAAAAAGTTTTAGAATATTTTCATCTATCTAAATAAAATATTTCCAATGTATTTATCACCGTCATAAGAAAAATCTAGACAAAAATTGAACGGGGGTGGTTATGTTTAGTAACTTAGAAGAGTAGGTTGAAAGTACAAATAGGGTCAAAACGTGCCCTATTATGAGTTAAACATATTCCCCAAATTTCATTTTCCTAGCGTTTATGGTTTTTGAGAAAAAAAAGTTAAACCAAAATTTTCCGCCATTTTTGAACGGGTGTAGCTCCTTACGGGAGCCGAACTCGCCCATGGTTCATATATCAAAGTACCCTTAAAATTCACTAAAGAATCACCCCTTGAAGTTTGTTGCAGTCATTCAGATATACCCTGTATATGGAATATAGTATATATCTTGGTAGATATCAACTTTATAAAAAAACAAGGGTAAATGGGTTTTCATACATATTGGTATATTATATGTTTTTTTAAAAAATAAACAATGTTTATACTCCAATATATTATATAAATTTATTAACTCTACCGGTTTCGACCTAGACCATCGTCAGGAGTCTATAAGGTTTTAAACGTTCATAAAATACAATTAAATTAAAAAATATAAAATGTTACTTTACCTCGTTGTATAAGGTTGAGGTCAGGAAACACATTCAAATTTACATTCAATTATATTCAAACTTTGATATATATAGTATTGAAACAGATGTATATCGAAAGTTTTAACAATAATTATTATATTACTTAAACTTAGAAAATTAGAATGGGGATGTAGCAGATGTGTCAAGTGAAACATATAATGTCGGGTGGAACATAATCATGTTCCACAGGTGAGTGTGTCGTTTTGTCAAGAACGCATGTATTGAAATCTATTAATAGACTGGGTTAATATGGTTCAAAATAAAATGGAATTTATTTATAGAATAGTGTTATGGAAATGATTGGGATATGGGAACTAGTTGGATTG